ATTCACAGAAAACCCTGTGAACACGAAGTTAATATCACCTCCCTTTGTGCAAATGTCATTAATGCCATCCACATGGATGTCTACACTGGTTGGTTCTGGAACAGAAGAACGATGAAACAGCATGGTAGTTAGTGAGAAAGCAATCATGAAGAAATTCTGCTTTAGCTTTACAAAACTGTCACAGAAATGTATTAGTCCAAGCATGCAAGTGTTGCTCTGGGAGTCTTGCCCCAGCAAAGTTTAAACATCTCCAAATCCTGAGACTGAAAATCCTCTTTCCCCCCTCCCGCTGCAGCCATTTCTGTCAAAAACACACATTCCTTCAAATCAGTTCAAGGGTTACTTTGTCAGTGTCTACCATATAGCTCTATTTTCCCCGGTACAGTAAGTGCATTTCAGTTATTGAAACCACACACTATGGCTCATCTGTTCTGAAAAGTGCTTGATTTTCTCTGCCAACTGCAAGTCAGAGATAAGTCCCCCATTGCAGATACACTGTCCTATTGTAAGAAGACAAATAAGCACTTACCGAAACTCCACCCTAGGGGAGGCTCAATTTTAAGAATGAAATCCCCCTAAAAAATAAAAAGCAATAACTGTCTACATTGATCTAAATTCAATTTAGCTAAATTATGAAAAAAAAAAGTCATAACACAAGCATCATGCTGCAGAGAGGAACACAAAACTCAAGTGTACCATTCTCCTTCCCTCTTACTTCAGATACTCTGTTCAAAGAAGCAGCAAAATCTACCCAGACAGGCCAGGATGCTGGGCTCACATCCAGCCAGCTAAGAGCAAAAATTAAGTATCACTGTGTTTATACCACTTCAAGAACAAACCTGGCTCAGTGCTAGAAAGTGCTTCAAGCAGCTCAGTGCTAGAAAGTGTTCAAATCTACCTCTACCTGCCCCAACAGATGGGTTCTAAAGGTTCTAAATTAGCCTTCAGTATTTCCACTAGGAGATCCAACTCAACCATTCTGCCCAAACATGAGACAACAAAACTTCAATCCTATTAAAAGCTCTGCTCCAAAAGGCTATTAAGCTGCATAGGGATCCTCTTTATAGTGGCCACCAAACGTGTTCTGCCACATATATTCTGAAGTTCAGAATGGAAAGGTTCAAAGGCCTAAGACTGAAATCACTGAGATCAGAAAGCATCTTACATTCTTAGATTGGGAAGGGAAGGAATTATTTGGAGGTTGAGCTAGATGATCCTTAAAGATCCCTTCCAAACCAAACCATTCTATGATTCTACTTCTGATCCCTACGTTAACCAGCTCTTTAAAAGAGCAAACCACTTTGACTGTCTGAGGGCAGCTTGTAATTAATTTGAATGTAAACATCTTTCCAGTCTAATAGACATCAGACTTCTGATACATTCTGAGCTTCCTGTACCATTATTTCCTTAAGATATTTTTAATATCTGCAGTTAGTCATTCAAGTTATTTTCAGTTCAGTCATATCAAAACATCTCTTTCCAGAAAACAGAAAGCTTTAGCTGTACTCTGTAGTAACCTGTACTTTCTGTGCAGTATTTGTACAGCTGCAGCACACAGCTGTTGGCAGTAACTACGGCTCCCAGTGCTGCAGTCATTCCAATAAACAGCACAAATGCAACACCACAGCTACAGCTACCAGGCTTTTCTCAGCATAACTAGCACTGAGAAATAAAGTAGCTGCCTTACAGAAAGAAACAGCTGAAAGTTTGGTCCAAATCACACTAAATCATGTCCTGATTCGAAGGTTTCACGGGAAGGGTGTTGTTCTGAGGTTTACCCTGGCGGTAGGTGGGGAGGCGGGGGCAGTACAGAGGGGACAGCGCAGGTGGTGCAGCGGCTTACCTTGTCATAGAGGGGAATCATGAAATACCCGTTGTTCGGAGCACAGTCTGTCTGGTATTTCAGAGTACCGTGTTTTGTATATAACTTAATCTAAAAGAAGCAAACACAACAAGGGTGCTTTAAAACAAGGCTAGGAAGGCCGGAACCAGGCACTGTCTAACCAGGTGCTCTCACAGAGTAGCACCCGCCGTGCCCGGGGGCAGCAGGACGAGGTTCACGGCGAGCAGCTGCACTGAGCGAGGCACAGCCCGGGCCCGAGGGAAGGAGACCCGCAGTCCCACCGGCCCCAGCCCGCAGCACCGGCACCGTGCCCGCGGCACGGGCGGGAGCGCTCGGGGGGGCCCGGGGGCAGCCGGGGCCGGCGACGCCCACCTCGATCAGCGAGTAGTTGATCTCCACGTCGGACTTGACGAAGCCGCCGCAGCCCACGACGATGTCCTCGGAGCCCCGCGCCAGGGCGCAGCACAGCGCGCAGAGCAGCGCGGCCGCGGCCCGGCCCCGCATGGCCCCGAAGCTCCGCCGGCGCCTCACGGGCACCGCCAGCCCCGGCACCGCCGCCCTGAGTCAGCGCCGCCGCCGCGCGGCCGGAAGGGCCGCTCCCGCGGGGGCGCCCCCTGCCGGCCCGGAGGGCTGCGGCCGCTCCCGGGGCCGCTCCCCGGGGATGCCCCGCAGGACATCCCCCAGCCCCATCCCACTGCCGGGGATGGCGTCAGGATGGATTATCTGTGCCCCAGGCTGAATCTTCGCACGTTTTGTAAACGTAACTGATGTCGTCAGGTAACTTCTGCGAAAGGAATTGGTGTCTTCGAGCTGAATTTTCTCACGTTTTGTGAACATAGGTAAAGTCAGATAAGTGCTGAAACAGAAGATGCTTAATAAAGAACTTCGCGTTTCAAGCATTGCGCGAGGTTACGTCACACGAATAAATATGCACTGTGTAGGCGGAGAATATTTATTAGGCGGGTTCGTGTAATGTAAATTTTACGGTATAAAAGACGTAATTTTTTTTTACCGCTTGGCGCGCTTGATTTGCGGGAACCTCCACCCTGCGCAGAATAAACAACATCTCTTCTCCAAACCAGACCCTGTGTGCTTACAGAGCTCCCACCCCCGGCAGCCCCGGGGGCTCCGCCTCGCTGGTGCGGTCGCTGCCGGGCTGCACAGCCCCGGACCTGCCCCCGGCCGGACTTTGCCCGCAGCCGGGACGGACCGGGCGCTCCGGGGTCCCGGCACCGCTCACACACCGGGAACGGGGCTCCGGGCGCTGCGCGGCGAGGAGGAAACGCCCGTCCCGTCCCGTCCCGTCCCGTCCCGTCCCATCCGCGGGGCAGCGGGCGGAGGGGCCGGGCCGGGCCGATGGGTGCGGGCGATGCGCTGTGCGGGCCCGGGGAGGGCCCCGCCGGGCCCCGGGTGAGTGACCGAGTGACCGCGGCCCCTCCGCCGGGGGACCCCTCCGGAGCCCGGCCCGGAGTGCGGCTCCCTGGGGCAGCCCTGGACCCCGCTGCGGGGGTGTGAAGTGCGAGCGGTGAAGTGTGTTCCCGTGGGTGCGGGCTTTGCTTCCCAGGCACAAGTTTTCACCCAAACAGAACAGCCCGAGTTGTTCTCAGTTACAGTGAATTTGATGAGTTGCGTGTGCTGTGCTGCTGGAAGGATGTTCGAATGAGTCTTGTCTTTGGGAATTTTCCGCTGAAGGACCCAGTACAGAAATACCTTTAAAAGGGCTCTAATTTTATCAGTCTGGGCTCTCACAGATTTCCATCCCCAAGATTGATAAACTCCCATAATAATTTGTGAGCCATTATCTGTTTCCTCTTTCCATCACGGTGATTGCTTTCCTCAGCCTTGCTCTGCAAGCTGAAGGAAAAAATAACCTTACCCGTTTATGTACAGTTGCCAGATAAGATCCAATATTTGTTCAGTCAAAAAGTCACAAAAGGTTTGTACAAACAGCTGAGGAAATGCAGTTCATGCACTAGGACGCTTTTTCCCTCCTACTCTCCATTTCACTAGTCATTTCCTGTTGTTTATTATGATGGTTCCCAAATGCTGATCATCTGTTTAATTCCCAAATTACCTTTTCTCATTCCATTTTCATTAACTTACCTGTCTTTTCTTTTCTGTCTAGTTGTGATACATGTCCTTTCTTCGGCATCTTTCACTTTTGCAATCTTTTTTTCGTCCTGCCTTTCTACTTCAATTCCCTCCAAACTACTATAGCTGAGTTTGTCTCTGTTGCCAAATGTTTTTTACATTTGAAACCCTAAATCAAATTCCACTAACATAGTAGATCTCAGCTGTAGCATTAGGAACCTGCATTAGCTGTGAAATTCTGTGTACATTTGCTTTACTGTTTCACTTCTGTGTTATTTCTGTGACAGGACTGGAATCAGACATGGCATACAAACACCTCAGGATTTACCTGGTGCTTTGAGAGCTCAGTCATCACCTGGATCCCTTGTGCCTATCTTTGGATCTGTTTTCCTTTCTACTACCTGTACCTTCGACACAGGAACAGGGGCTATATCAAGATGTCCCGCATCTTCAAAACCAAAATGGTCCTTGGATTCATTCTGGTGATACTGTGTTTTACTAATGTTTTCTTCATGCTGTGGGAGATAAGCCAAGGAATCCCACGGGCTCCAGAGTTCTTCATCAGCCCTGCTGTGATGGGAATTACAATGGTAATTCCTCCCCTGTCTGTCTGCATGTGGCCAAGCTTAGCCCTCCGGGACAGATCTTGTATTTCCCACGTTTCTCAGTATCTCTGAGCACAAATTTGGCTGATGGGGAATAGAAGGCCCACAAGCCATGGCTTTGGAGTTGGGGCAGACCACTGGAGCTACACCTACAATACAGGGCTCTGTGGGCAGAGCAGACCTTGCCTGTTGGCCCACTTGTAGTTTTATTATTTGCCCTTTCTCCAGAGACATTCTTGAGTGCAAAATTGCACATAATGCTGTTCAGTTTTAGCCTTTTAGGAACAATACTACAGCTACTACAGCTCTGAACATCTTGAAGTGTTTGGACAAAAACTGATCTTTTTTCTGTGGTACTAATTAATTTGATAACAATGTTTGGCATTCCATTACCAGGTATTTATGTGGACAAATTTGTACCTCCTCACAGATCCTTGCCATGTTCCTTACCCAGGCAGAAAGAATGATGGGCATCCAGTCTTCAGGGGTCCTGTTGATTTATTGGCTGCTCTCATTTGTGGCTGCAGTTGTGATGTTTAGTTTCAAAATTCAACATGCCCTGGAAAGAGTAAGTGAAATCACATATTTTCAATGTGCAAGGGTATGAAGTCTCTAAACAGCAGAGCTGGTTTTGTCTCATTGTTGCAAGGGGGAGAACAAAATTCCTCTCTTAAAATATGTGCTGAGAAAAATGATTGCTGACACTATATATTTGTTCATTTGGATGTTTATGTGCAGCAGAGTGCTTGCTGGCACATCTGAGACTTATTGTTAGTGGCCATTTTCCTCAGATGAACAGGCTTCTTTGCAGTCACAACAAGGAATAAACAAAAGTTTGTTACCTGTGTGTTTTAAGTAATAGGGGAAAAATATGCAGCCATGAAACAAAATACAGCTGGGACCTTGCTTGTTCCTGCTGTGTTGAAGGCACAAGGCTGCTTGTTGATATAACACTTGGCAACTTCTTGCTACCAATACACTGTTCCAAAAATATTTAGACTTTTCCATTGTTTTTTTCTCTTTCTCATTCACAAAATGAATTAAAGAGCTCTTCATGGAGCCCCTTAGACACAACATTTATAGTAAAACTTAGCAAGTGCTTTATTATATCAACAACTCACCCCACTGGGTGAGCAAGGAGCTTCTATCCCTCAGAGCATTCAAAGTTCCCTGAAAAACGATGGAATGTGGACATCTGACTTGACTAGAGTACTATGAATCCTCACAATAAAACTGTCACTATGAATAATAAATGTGTCTTATTTAGCATTTTCTGAGCTTCCAGTTTCAGGAGTTATCTATTTAGCTCTACACAACTTAAATAAATGCACCTCATGCTTCAAACCAAAACCCCGAGCTTATGGCTGGTAGAACATGAGAAGCCATCTTTCTCTGCTGATTTAACATGATGGTTCATTTCCTCATTCTCACCAATATTCTGTTTCTTAGGCCTTCCTGGAAGACCATTTCCACCATGTTACAGCTTTCCTTTATGCCAACCTGGTGCTAGGAGAACTTGTGTTATTCTGCTTAGTTGATCACCTTCCCTTCTTCTCTAAAGATGTCAACAATCCTGTAAGTATAACATAGCTTTTCCTAACGCACTGTTTCATTGCTGAAACAGGATTTTAAATTTATGGGCATACACAGGAACACGAGTATCTGGGTGATGTCAGGTGCATCATTCTGTATAAAGGCTGATGGTTTTAAAAGGTAACTGGCAGAATTTGATCTATCTCTGTATGTTTTTCAAAACTACAAACCTTTTATCCATACTCATGTTTCTTGTCACTGAAACCAGCAGACAGGGCTCCCATTGCTTCCCCTGTTGTTGCTCTCCTGTGCAGCAGCACTTGGTGGTATGGGTATGACAAATTTCTGTGCTTAAGAAAATAAATGTCTCTGGGTATGAAGAATTATGTTCTTTTTTTCTTCTATCTGAGAAGTTATTCGAAGTCAAATTCTCCAAAATCTCCCAATCCCATTGATCCTCCACAATACACTTACTCTGTCTGGGTCAGTGAATTGAGGGGTGGGGGTAACTCTTTGATTGCTTTTCCTGGGGGAGCATAGAAGGGAATTATATTCATCTGACACTTTTCTGTATATAAATATCACACGTTTTCTCTTCCATCAGAATCACTGTCCAGAAGCCAGAAGCTCTTTTCTTTCCAAAATCACATACTGGTGGTTCTCTGGGTAAGAAAACACAGAAGATGTGGTTTTGCTAGAATATCAGAAAAACCCCAGCAGCATAAGAGACAGTGTAGAGGCAGCCAGCAGGAAATATCTCAGCTCCTGAGTTAGCTTACGGAGTGAGAATTTAAATTCTTTCTCCAGGGGTTTGACGTATTGTCGCAAGGTCAAATTATAAAAATTTCACTTACTTTTCTCGAAATAATTCAAAACATAAATTTGTGATTCTAGATAATTCTCTTCTACTTCCTAACTACCCTTCCAGTGCCCTCCCAATCATGAAATAGATCAGCAGTCCCAAAAGATCACTGCACACCAACCACAGCTCTATCTGCCTGCCAGACCTTCCTGTAACAAATGCTGGGCAAGGGAAAAACAGTGAAGAGGATATAGGCCCAGTCTGCTGCTGAGCATCCAGAAGTAAAACAATTACATTCCTTGGGCCTAATATCTGCTATGATAAGGTCTCATCTGGTTTCACTGAACTCAAAGTTAAACTAAACTTCGGTCCCACTGCCCAAGACTCTCATTATGGACTAGAAATTAGGGCTTACTTGCAAATCCTCATTATGTTGACAGAGGACAGCATAGGAATTTAAAGCAAAACCGCTGTTCCTGAACATTCATGTTTATTCTGGGACAGGACAGTCTTGAGTAGTGTTGTAATGCAAGTTAGTCCCCATGTGCTCACTGTGGTGTACTAACTTAATGTCCATCTGTTTTGAAAGCGTTACATGCACCACAAAACCTTCTGCATTCACCTGACTGCAGTCTGTGTGTTCTCCAGGCTTCTCTGGAAAGGCTCTCAGCAGTCCTTGGGGGTGGATGACTTGTGGCCAGTGAGGAAAGAGGACTCCTCTGAAGAAATTGTTGCCTGGGCAGAAAGAGAGTGGAAGAAGTGTCACAGCAGAATCCAGCAGTGAGTACTTGTTCTAGAGAGCACATCATGGGCTCAGCTGGGCAGGTCTAGGTGATCTAGCAAATACACTCACAGGTGTTGGTGTGTGAGTTCCTTTGTGCAAAATCTGATTTTAAGTGTTAAAAATTGCTGGAGAACATCCTTCCATTTCTGGAAGCATACAACTAATTTCTTTGTGAGAGGGGTCACTTTTTGATGAGCATTTATACTGAACATGGTATGAGACCTGGTGTAAGATATTTAATGATTTTTTGGAAGCACAAGATTCCCAAGCTTTCTACAATTCTAGCTAGCTTTCTCATTGTTACTTTCTTCAGAGAAAGGGAGTCTGCTACATTTAAAAAGGGTCAGAAGACTGAAGCTGGCATAGCAGAAGCTGAAGAGACAGAGGCTCTCCTGCAATCACAGCACAGTGAGAGCAGGCCCTTACTGAAAATGTTTTGGAGCATGTTTGGAACCTATTTCCTCCTCAGCACTGTCTGCTTAGTTATCTGTGATGTCTTCATGTTCTCCATCCCAAAGTTACTGAGGTATGTGCATATTTATAATATGTACAAGACTGCTGTGTTCACGAGCTCAGAGGTGTGTATGTCAGCACTCACAGAGGTGGGCAGGCACACACTTGCCTTTTGAAATCTCTTGTAGCTGATGAAAAGAGCTGAATTGTCATTTGAGCTTAGCCCACTGTCAACTCAGGAGGAGAAGTCACCAAACCACTGTCTCCACTGCTGTATTCCAACAGTGGAAAGGACAGGATGCACTAAACCATGTGACAACTTTACTAGAACAGGAGTTATTTGTTGGTTCTATGTATCACATCATTTGCACAAGGCTGTCAGCCCCTTGCTGTAGTCTGAAGGCTCTGTGTTCCCTGACTAATTACAAAGAGCACAGCTGTACATCTTAAGAAGCTTTGTTGGTCAGTTGGCATAATGCTTTGTGGATTGTATTGGTACAATATAAACCTTCACTATGGTATATTTTCAAGTGCAAAATCCCTTCTTAATCATTACAACTAAGAGAAGTTCTGGAAATGTCAATGACTTCCTTAGATTACAGCTACCACTTTGCATATTTCCGACAAATTCATAAAATTCAGGAGCCATCCATAACACTGAAAGTGAGGTCTCCCCTGAGAAGATGCTGAGATCAGAGGTTGTTACAAAACCAAGAGTGGCTACATGTCAAAAATCAGGGTATTATATGATCTAGGTTACTCAGCAGGTTTTTTTCCAGTTCTTCTGCTATTTTACTGATAAACCTCTCAGACAGAATACAGAAAAATCACTGCTATTTCTGCCAGTTTGTTTTTATGTGTCTGATATTTCATCAGTCCTTCGTGGATTCAGCAACATTTTGCCCCTGTCTTGCAGCCTTTTCCTGAAGTTCATTGAAGATCCAGAAGCCCCCAGCTGGCTTGGCTATTTCTATGCCTTCACTATGTTCCTTTTGGCTTGTCTCCAGACTCTGTTTGAGCAACGCTACATGTACATGTGTCTTGTTCTGGGGTTGAGACTGAAAACTGCAGTAACAGGGCTTGTGTACAGGAAGGTGAGTCTGTAGCTTCCTTTTTAGTTTCCTTTTTTTTTTTTCCTAGCCCTACATTAGTATTTACACCATTGTTGGTACAATGTTTCTAGCAATATCAGGATGTCACTCTGTGCTATATTCATCTCTGAACAGTATATGGGAGGTACTTTATAATTTACTTTTCAGATCTTACCTCTGAAGAAAAAGCCAAGAAAAGGAAAGAGCAAAATTCAACATAAAGTTTCTTATGCTGTAGATGATGGTTAGGGAAAACAGTAAATGCTTCATCCTAAAGTGAAGTCACACGCAGCAGCATGGCTTCAATACCTAGGATTTGACATCTTCCTCCCTTATTTGTCTTCTTTCTTTATGAGGAAAAGAAAGTTGTTTGACTTCTGGACCAAAGCTGTTGTTTGATGATGTCTTTTCTTTCCTCTCTACCCTATCTAGATCCTACTTATGTCAAATGCCTCAAGGAAAGCAGCAACCATAGGTGAAATTGTTAATCTGGTATCTGTTGATGTCCAAAAGCTAATGGATCTGATTATCTATTTTAATGGGACCTGGCTTGCTCCTATTAGGATTATCATCTGCTTTGTCTTCTTGTGGCAGGTAAAATATGACTACTTATCAATCCCTTTCTATTTTACATATCCAAGAAAAAAGGGGGTTTCAAAATTCTATTCAGAGCTTTCCTGGTTGGAATAACCTGAAGTTGCCATACTTTTCTTAGCTCTGTAGCACGGTGCATTCACTTTTCTTTCTGGAAGGTGCTTTTACTGGTATAGAATCCTTACCCAATCCTTCACTTAACCTTCTAACTTGTGTATTCAGCTTTTTTTAAGGAAAAGACTGTGAGTATGGTTATTCTGAGCAGACTGATAAACTTCTGCCCTAAATTTTCCTCTGTCGCCTTACTTTTCAACCAAAAGATGGTGTCCCAGTGCAGGCTGAAAGTCCAGTTCCAGCTCCTCGGCATAGTCCAGAGCATAAGGGGGAATGGTCTGAAACAGCAACTTGACACAATTCATCCTGAGGCCTGATTACCACAAGACCAGTGCAACAGCGTGAAGCAAAGTTCCATGACTTCAGTTACATTCAAAAAGAGTATTGGATACACTGAATTTCATAGGTATCAAGGAGTTTAGCAAGGAGAAAGCAAAACCTGAATTAGGAATAAGGGATGGTAATCTAAAAGATCCATTTTTAATCAGTGTTATGATATTTTCTCAGCAGTATAAAGCCCTATTTCTTAGTCCCTATTTTTGGCCATACACCAAATGGAATTATGAGCACTATGCACACAGCCGGTTCACAGGAGCTTTCCATGGCCTTTGAGACCTTCCTTTGCTATCCAGGATGGACTCTGCCTCGTGCCTAGCAGGATACTATGACCTTGGAAAAGTAGTAGCCATGGTGAAGACTGTTGAAAAGTCATCATCCCTTTCCTAGTGATGTTAAGCAGCTGAATGTGGTCTCATGTAGTTGGAGCATAATTAACCCTGTTGTTTGCTACTGTTCATAGACTATTTGTATAGACAGTACTTTTACCTCTCTGTGTAGGCCACCACTCACCTCTCCAGCCCTGCACAGAGATGGATCTAACCCCTGAGAAACACGCTCTCTGTTTTGATACACAAGTCTTTACAAACACTGGTATCCAAGAGTTGTACCTAGAGTATGTGGCATGGGATAATGCCACCATTTCATCTCACCTGTTGATGTAAATTCAGACAAGAAGGGTTATTTTTGCTGCAAGAATAGTTTGTTGAGGGTTTGGGTTTGTTTTTTAACCAAAACCTGATATTGTTTCGGATCACTTACTTAAGCCAGCCACAAGATGTCCTCGTTAACGCATCCAAGGACACGGGAGGAAACAGGAATGGCTGGAATTGCCAGGGTACTGCTGGATCACTTTCAGCACTAATCTAGTTCCTAACAAGGAAGCAAATAAATTCAGCGGAGCCTGATGACAGGAGTTCCCCTGCCTGGATGGTTAACAATCCACAGCGCTTAGGGAAGCACAATTCCCAGGAAAGGCAAAGGCAAGATTAGAGCAAAGCTTTAACCATGAGGGATGTTATGCATAAGTTCAAGTAAGAGGGAAGGTAAGCAAAGGGAACAGAAAAGAGTAATTTCTAGTCATCACCAGAAATTCTTTCTCTTTCCTTTTCTCACCTGGCAGCTTCTAGGGCCATCTGCCTTGACTGCAATTGCTGTATTCCTTTTTCTTCTGCCTCTGAATTTCGTGATCACCAAGAAGAGGAGTCAGTTTCAGGTACATTTTGCTTCATAAAAAAAGAAATTGTTTACTGACATATGTGATGGCTTAATATTTATTAGTCATGCTTACCATGATGGTCTGAAGGAACATAGGAGGATTTGAAGCCTGCAAAGCTTCCTAGAATTTAGACTAAGCTCTTGCATGTTCAATCTTTTACCATGTTTGCCCACCTTTTCTGTGTTTTTTATGTACTGCCAGTAAAAATAAAGCTCTGAAGATGAAAAGCAGAATATTTCCCAGCCTGGAAGATTCATAAGCAAAATAGTACACACAGATCAACTGCAGGGAAATTTATTCAGGACTTAGATGCAGGAATAAGGTATATTTTCAGAATAATTGCACCATTAAACTATCAACCTATTAAACGAAATAACACGAACATTTATTACAGGAGACCCAGATGAAACATAAAGATGAGCGGGCCAAACTCACCAATGCCATTCTCAGTGACATTAAAGTAATCAAACTGTATGGCTGGGAGAACACCTTCATGGAGAAAGTGCTTGGGATCCGGAAGCAAGAACTTCAGGCCCTTAAAAGATCTCAGATTCTCTTCTCAGCATCCCTAGTTTCTTTCCATTCATCAACTTTCCTGGTGAGTGGATCACCTTCCTGCATAAACCATGTGCTATTACTTCCATTTCTCTTTGTACAAGTCCTCCCTGGACAGATTTTCCTGTGGGAAAAGCTTCTCCTGTGGGATAAACTAAAGATTATTTCTGCCTGGAGGAGTTGGCGGTCTCACGGGAGTTGCTGAGCCCCAGTGGAATGAGCCATGCAGACATTTACACTGTCCTAACAGTTCCATGGACAGGTGATCTGGTCTGGCACTGTGCTCCAGGCAGCCCGAGCCTGCTTTGCAGGATCCACTGGGAGACCTCCAAGCCAGACAGAGTTCATGGCACAGTCAGTAGCTGCACAAGCCACATTTGCACTTGCTGTTGCAGCTCAGCCATGTGTGTTTTCAGTGGGAAACTGCTGTGCTTTCACCTTGTTGAGGCTGCAGCATGAAAACTTCCTTAATGCAGAACAAATGTCAAATGATCAACTTGATACTGTCACCAATATGCAAGACTTTTGGCCATGATCCCTGCAGAATGGGTACTGTGCACAGAGGTGGTAGCCTGGATTTAACTAAACAGGTTCCAGAGTCTTTAGGAAGGGGCCTGGCACCCCTGAACCATTCTCTTCCCTGTCTGAAGCAAATGGTTTGCTTTCCCTTTGCTCCCTTTCAGATTGCATTTGTCATGTTTGCTGTCTACACCCTGGTGGATAACACACACATCCTGGATGCTCAGAAGGCCTTTGTGTCTTTAACACTGATCAACATCCTCAACACTGCACACTCCTTCCTGCCCTTCTCCATCAACGCTGCTGTCCAGGTTAATTGCAGGCTGTGTTCCTTTTCCTTTGGCTGTAAGGGGTTTTTTTACATATCACCATTAACAGGTAAACAGAGAGATTCCTTAGGGCTTTGCACATCAGCCATTTAATCGCTATTCTGAAACAGTGAAATGCAAGCACTTGCAAGTAAACGTACTTTGTCGTATTGTTTTTCAGAAAGACTCCTTTCACTGACAAAATAGTCAACAAGAATTATTCATAAGTCTTTTGGAACTCATCACAAGCACCAAAAGACCCCAGAGGTGCTTCCAGTTCTGTTTTTAATTGCACAAATCAGAATAGATGGAGCAAAATCTCCATAGGGGATCAGTGGAAACCCTGCTAGTCCAGGCCAGAGAGGAAAGCAAATCATTGCCCAGTAAGATATAAGGAAATTAATTTCCCTCTTACATTTTAAGGCTGTCACAGCTTTTCTTGTACAGAAGCAATCACTGGGAAATTGCAGGATGAATTGGAGAAAAAAGCACCCATTTCACTGAACCAAAAGCACCATGAAGGATACGGGCTTTTTGCTAAGCTAAGTGGAAATAAAGGCAGTTAACATAAGGAAGAGCTGCATTTGGCCATCTAAGCCTACAACACCTGCAACATAGCAGATGATCTAAGTGTTCTTCATGTTGTGTCTGGGGTTTTGCTCCCCTTCTACTCTAAATCCTGTTTTCTTTTGTGTGCTGCTTCATTTCAGGCCAAAGTTTCTTTAAACCGCTTGGCAGCTTTTCTGAGTCTGGGACAACTGAATCCTGAGAGCTCATGCAGAAGCACTTCTGGCTGTGGTGAGCTTTTATGTTAGCACTGTTACCTTAAAAGAGGAGTAACTTCTATTGTTCAGCTTCTACTCAGGGTGCTTACCATAGTCAACAGAAAAATATTTGCCCCTTACTGTCACTTTATCTCTCAGGTCTATTTATTTCTACCAATAAAATCTAATCTGGTAATGTATGTCTTTTTTCATACTTACGGTTCATTTTATGTAATATACACACTGAAACATAAAATCATATAACTAGGGATGTTTCTGTAGCACCTTTTGCATTTACAGGTACTGTATTTCTCTTCATATTTTAGCACAGGCAAGTATCACCATAAGAAATGGGACTTTTTGCTGGAGCAAAGAAACTTCTCCTTGTCTTAGAAGGTACAGACTTACTCTTAGTCATCTCTCAACTCTGTAGGGCCAGTGTGGAATGTCCAGAGGCTTCTGAGTTCACTTCATATTTAATGCTGAATTCTGAAAATTACAAAGTCAGACAAAACATAATCTTGGTCTTCTGTTTGGGAGCAGATAAATGGGAAGGTGCCTGTATCTGGATGTTGCCTTAATCTATGGAGGCTGTTTTCTTTACACAGTTTTCTTGTTCAAATATGAAATTACAGTAGTTTAAGTCAAAAAAGTAGAACAGATGGTATGCAGGTATTATATATGGCATCACTAGATGCTTATTTCAACAGGCATTGACATTTTTGAGAAGAAACTATGTTGAATAGTGCTGATGTTCAGGAATGTTTTATATCCAATGCTTTGGGCTAGCTTATCTCCAGAGTGGGGATCTGGGTCTTGGATCTGGGTTTGAAACTCAGAGGGGGATGTGGATCAGACTTTCTGGTTGGAGGGGTCTTTGAAGGGATGAAATTAGGGTGGTTTACTTGGGTACATTTTTATTGCTTCAAGACAATAGCAAGAATTTTGATAATTTCCTCTTCAGAAAGTGCACCTAAAACATGATAAGAAACTAATCTTTTCTCCATAGGATAGATCTTACCGTGCCCCAAGGCTCTTTGCTTGCTGTAGTTGGCCAGGTGGGTGCTGGGAAGTCCTCCTTGCTGTCAGCATTACTTGGTGAGCTGGAGAAACTGGACGGCTCCGTGACCATGAAGGTAAATTTTCCCCTGAGCATTTGCTTCTAATTAGGCTGTTTTCAGGAACTGTAAGGTATTAACCAAGGCATCAGGTACTTGATAACAATGCATTTACTGCTGAATTTTAACAAACGCTGTATGTATCAGTCCACATTTAATTATCTGAAGGTGCTGAAGACTTTGGAAATAGGAGCTGAAACATTGCTTCAAAGATCCAGTTCTATTTCCCACTCTGACAGTGAGCTGAAATGTCATCCTGGTAAATCTCATTATGTACTTGCACCTCCTCTGTATCCTCCTCTGTCAGATAACAACAGTGCAGACTCATATTTTGCAAAGCCCTCTGAGACCTATCAATGGTGATGATCATTCCAGACTTCTATAACTCAGAGAGCTTTTCTGCAAAGATGGGTTCCCACAGTGTCAAGTTGAGTTTATGGAGAAGATTACTAACATTGTTCCACTTCTATAGGACACTGCAGCTTATGTCCCCCAGCAAGCTTGGGTACTAAATGCTACAGTGGAAGATAATATTCTTTTCGGGAAAGAGATGGATGAAACATGGTTCAATAGAGTGATAGATGCCTGTGCACTGCACCCTGATTTGGAGAGCTTCCCTGCAGGGCAGAAGAGTGAAATAGGAGAAAAGGTACTCATACTTAGGTTTATATTTTGGCCAGCTTTTCTTTGAGTAGCTACAACTTCAGGTGTCCTGCTTAAAACACCTACAAAGAAATTAAACTTGCAGAAGGCAGGTGCTCGGTGATTTCTGGAAAGTTGGGCCATGATCTAATTTAATTTAAGCCCACCTCCTGACAGTTAACCTCACCAGAGACATGAGAGTTGTTAAAGACAAAAATCAACAAATCCAGGCCATTCTGGGATGCTCTTTTACAGGAGAGAGGAGTTGCTCAGGAGACTCTACCTCTGCAAGAGCCCTATTTGGAGGGAGGAAGATGCACTGGTTTAAAAATAAGGGAGTCATAAAACCTCAGCACAAAATGGAGTCAACAGCTGACAAATATGCTGTAGCTGTGGAATAAACAGAGTCAATACATTTTTACAGGGAATAAATCTGTCTGGAGGGCAGAAGCAAAGAGTGAACCTTGCTCGTGCCGTGTACCAGAAGGCTTCGATTTACCTGCTCGATGACCCCCTCTCAGCTGTTGATGCCCACGTCAGACAGCACATTTTTGAACACATTCTTGGACCCAATGGTTTACTGAAGGACAAGGTTTGTGTTATAAATCCTGAACTCTAAACAATTGCACAATTAATCTCATTAGCAGAGCCCCTGAAATGTTTCCAGTAAGGTGGGTTACTCACTTTATCAAAGGCTCCCAGACTTTTTTGGTAGTGGCAGCAGTGGAATGGGTAACCCCTTCAGGCCACACAGCACCTGCAAGTCCTGCAGGGAACCTCACCAAGGAAGAGTAAGACTGTCTTTATCCTCATGCAAACCACATGCCTATTTCCAGCCTTACTTCTACAGCAAGTTTACTGTTGTTTGGTCTTCTGTCAACATTATCCTTCTCTCTTTTTGAGAACTGCTTCTAGCATAGTTAGGAAGAGCTGTCTGATCTCTTCTAGCAAATTGTATCATCATAACATCTAATCCCATCACTTTTGAATAGTTCAGTGGCACCTTTACAGTTCTTATCACTTAAAGTTCAGTCTTAAAATCCACCTTAAACACTTCTCTTCCATTCCTTTTGCAGTGGTGGTGTTTTGTTATTCCTTGGTATTTCTCTGCTTTTGATCAATCTGAATAATAGATGTGGTTATATAAGAAGGGATGCTAGAGCAGCTCTATTTAATTCATGGTATAAATTGCCTAGAAATACTTGATTCAGTTTCACATTATAGAAGGAACACAGGTAATCTCTTGCATTAGAAAGTCCAGTTATAACAGCCATGCCTGACTATAAATACCTTTGTCTTCATGAGCATTGGTTGCAAGTATCAGAATATAATTATTGTATTGAAACAGAATGACTGGCTATGAAGAATGTATCAAACTTAAGGAGTACTCAAGGGGCTTGATTTTATATTAGAAATATAGAACATGCCAACTTATGTAAGGGGAAATTACTTTTCTTATGTCCTCTTCTACAGCAAATACACTCAGAAATGTAAATTGAAAGGAGCTCCACTTTCATTCCCTTCGGGCTGATCAATTTTTCAGCCATGAATTTGATTCTGAAATACTGATATCACTGGCAATAAATGTGGCATACTCTGCAATTAACATCTTCCTACTTAAGACCTTCAACCAGAGGGGAATCAATAACATGGAATTGGTCAGTGAGTCAAGTAAAAGGTCCTCCAGCACACCGGGTGCCAGCCTGGGACTTCAGGCTTCAGTTCCCATCCTCACTCTTAACACTGTGCACGACACAAAGCGAGTTGATTCACCCCTCCACTTCCAAGTTCTGCATAAAGCTGTGCTGCAAAGATAGACTTCCTCAGAGAGACAGAAGTGATAGGAATAAATAACAAAAATATCTCCAAGTTAGTAAAAATCATAGCTTGCACCGAGTACGTGTGTGTCTTCAGAAGCCAGCTGAGTGCAACAGCTCAAGTTAGCAGGGAAACAGCAGAAAATATGTAACTGTTCCCTCTTGATTCAAGCAGACTCGTGTGCTGGTGACTCACACAATCAACATTTTGCCTCAAGTGGACAACATTGTTTTTCTGGTGGATGGAATGATCTCAGAAACTGGATCCTACCAAGAACTTCTACAGAGAAATGGGGCCTTTGCAGAATTTCTTCATTCACATGTTACTGCAGAAGAGAAAGCATGTGCTGGTTTTCCAGGTAACCCAAATGAGTTGGAATCATTCTTCCTAGGTCTATCAGTCAATTGTTTCCTTAATATCACATTTGTTTTATTATGGAAATATGCCTGTCAAATTAGCTGCCTCATCACCTCCGAACTGGTCCTTGAATCCATCTGAGTAGACAACACTCATGCAGTAAACAGAATTACCCACTATATGTACTGTTTTTCAAGTCTAACCTTGATATTTCTACCCTTCAAAATCTTTCCTCCATATTACCAAGCTTTCAAGGACTATGCAGGACAAACTGAGATTCTAAAGCATTTAGAAAAAAATGTATTTATTTCACAGCTATAGGAGACACCAAAGGCACCATCACATCTAGAAATGGTCCATCTCAGGAGAAACTCTCTAGGTAAGCTTAAAGCAGTCTCAGACACTGAAGAACTTATTCCAAAAGCCCATACAAGCCTACTTGGAGGCTCTTACTGAGTATAATAAAGGTTTGGAGTTGAACTGTAAATTAATAACAAGAGCACACAAGCAAAACTCAAGAGCTGGCAAGAACCTGGTCTTCAATGTGGAGGTCAACTAACACTTTCTCCATATTTCACAAGGACCAGAACAGAGCTCAGATACAAGGCACGTTGATACACATGTTTGCTGTTCAGTTCCCAGTGGGGCTGTAAGGTCAGGCTCACTCCAAACCAGCCAGAGCGAGTGAATGCTTTAAGCCTTTGCTTGTTAATGGCTTGACAGAGCCCAGGCCCTGGGACAAACATGGACAATGACTGGGGTCACTCTGGAGGACTCCAAAAACTGCAGCCCTCAAAACAGGCATGAATATAGGGGTGGGTAAAGAGATCCAGCTTGGCTAAAAATTGAAAGGAATTTTGTTTTCTTAATGAAGTGGCAATTCAGTCAAATCATCTGCTGTGAGAAGGGAGACCATTCCTGTAAGTCAAGACTGTACCAGTGCTGCAGCCACCAAAGGAAGATTAACTAAGGGAGAGAAAACTCAGCATGGCAGGGTAAGCACAGCACCTTCCTGTAATGGCAAGGACACATCCCATGGGGTTATCACACTCATGGCAGGCTGGTCAGCTCCCTGCCTAAGCTAAGAAACACCTCAAAAGGCTGAGGCAAGGAAGATACCGTGAAAGGAAAGAAGCAGACATGGTATTCCAGTTAGGAAGAATCAGACATGGATGAGGGGTTTGTTCAGGGCACATTGTGGCAGTAGTAAAATGTGGAGAGGAAAAAAATAGCTGAGGCTAGTGGTACTGAGAGCAGATGAGACTAAGAAGACAGACACTCCAAAAGAGGCAGCTTTTCCTCTAGGGAAGCACAGCATTAGCCAGACTGGGATGTCCTCACCTCTCCTGATCAGCAGTTACTCATACAAGCAGTCAGTGTGATACATGACAGTTCTCCCTCACTCACAGAACACACTGCCCAACATAAGGAAAGCCCACTCTCTGCATTCCAGAAGTAGCACAAGCCTATTGCAATAACATCTATCACTTGAAAATAATCATTAACACCAGGATTTATTTAAGTATGGCTTCACTATTCATCCATGAGGAAAACAAAAAAAGGATTAACATGGTTGCTATGGCTGTGACATGTAACTGAGTAGATATGCCATAATAAATCATTCCTTATTTCAGAGCTGCTTTTTCTTGCTAACAAGCTTGATCCTCCCAACCTCTCCTCCTGTCTTTCCCCAATTGTACCTCACTCTAGGTCAATACTGGGGTTTATGCAGCCTACCTGAAGGCGACAGGCTCAGCCCTGTGTGTGTTCACCCTCCTGTCCTTCACCTGCCAGCAAGCTGTGTCGTTCTCTCGGGGTTACTGGCTCAGCATGTGGGCAGATGACCCTGTTCACAACGGGAC